GTTTACATTATGTGCAAGAAGATATTAAAAAATTGGCATTTGAAGAAGACAATACTGGAGGATGACGTAAATCCATTAATTTGTAATGATTTACTATTATATGATGAATGATTCCTAGAATATGATACTAATATTAAATCATCACAATTGACAGAAGAAGATCACAATGCTAATTTCTTTAATGGAGGAATGAGTAAGACCAACAATTTCAACAAAAGTAAAAAAAAAAGTAATAGAAAATGTTAAACCAAAATTTTATGTAATTGAAATTAGAATCATCAACATAGTCATTATTCTAAATTTTAATTAAGGTTATTAATGCTTTTATTGCTTAAGGAAGGGAAAGGTAGTTGAGATTGAAGATAAGGAGGAATATTTGGAGGATGTTGACATAACTGGGGATGAGATGAAAGAAAATAATTCACTATAAGAAATACCCCAGCACTAGCAAAATTCAAATTTAAATTTATTTCATTGTATATGAATGAGTTTGGCAGCTAAATATTAACTTACCCTCGATCTTTTTTGCCAAGCTAGAGGCGGCAATAATAATAATAATAATAATTTTTTAAATACATTTGATTGAGACAAAAAAAAAGTGATTGCCGATGAATGAAGGATTGCCATAATGATGGATAGTCATGCAGAAAGACCCGCCAATCAATATAAGCAAATTCCAAGGCAACTCAAGTGCCTAATGGACCATATCAATAAATCCACATGAGCTTAATAATCAGAGAACAAGTTGACTCCAACAATAAGCAAACCATAGAATGAAGCTAAGGATGGAGGTGGCAAGCTCTCGTGATGTATAAAGTAACCAAAATCAAGATATTCCTACTTCAATTTTATTATATACCAAGAAGATGTATTAAGTATGTCATTTTTTGATTGAATGATTACTCATAAATACAGGGAGCAAACAAAAGATCTTTGAAAAAAAAATATTTATCTTTAGAAGTCATATGATCAACCATAATGGTGATAGATTCAACGCACACTAGCAAATAAAAGAATGTTAAAGGTATATTAAGATTATTTATAACACGCATGGCTGAGTGGTAGCTAACTATTTAAAGCATCATAGGGTATAGGGGTCTAATGCAAATTTAACAAGATCTTTAAAAATTTATGAAAATTTATGTAAATTTTGCATATTGAGAACTCTTAATATTTGATAGCTATTCATTCCCCTTGAAGAAAATTACAAAAAACTATGAAAATCTACTCTACTAAAAATTCACGATCAAGAAAGACAAACAAAAGCTTTGAAATTCATGCATTTGTATAAAATCATAATGTATTACAACTCCTTAAAATTAAATCCCAAAAGTAAGAGAACGCCACATCAAACCATAATTTTATTCAATAACAACTAATGCATTTGATGCATGCCTTCAGCCCCTATTTATAATCACAAAGCCCTTGAAATTTCCTATTTATAAGTCACAACAAAAATTGAAAAATAATTGAAGAATTAGTTGATAAAACCCAATAGCAAGGAAGGAAATTTGCCAAAGACCAATATCACCCAATTTACATGGCTTGGGTTGGATGCCTCTAATAGTGGTAATAAAAAAAAAATCAGAGATGATAACAGAAACCGCAGAGGTTAGCTGCAAATGTAATTGAATATAGATAGATCATAGAAGCCATCAAACAAAGCAAACTAAGAAAGTTAGGAATTCGTGGGAATAAAGATAAAAAATTATAGGAATGTGCATAGAAACTATTACAAAAAAATAAAAACACCTTAGATAAAAAAAATAAAGCAAAACAACTCAAATAAAGTTAAAAGTTCATATTTCAAGTATCAGATTTAAATGAGTTTTTAAAAATAGGATTGGATAGCTCGAACAAGTACAATAGTACAATAAATGATAGAAAACTACTGTCCACTAATTAGGAAAGATTGAGGTTAAACTTGATGTAGCATGGGATCAACAAAAGACCCCCAAAAAAAACCCTTTTTTTTAAATCTTACTAAATATGGCATAAACAATCTCACCCTGAGAAACCCAGCTCCAGCAGGAGTGAACGGCTATGTTCGATATCAGACGGGCGGACGCGGTGGCGCTGTGAAGAGGCCTCAGTGATTCCACACATCCCAAAGCCAATGTGAGGGGCCTGTAAAACAGGAAAAATGGACGCCAAAACCCAAGGTCATCAGAGGAGGAAGAAGAGCCGGGTCCATAGCTTACCGATCATCTACTTTCATCGTCTCACCTGGACGCTTCAATGGCAGCTCTTCTCGAAGGTGATGTCTTGGGCAGCACGGTTTTTGATCGAGCGGAGATAAATCTGGCGCCGACCGCAACGGAACGGCAGATCGACGACATTTTTACAAAGGATTTTATTCGTCGGCAAACTTTCTTAAAACCCTAGCCCAAGTGTTTCAGCCAAAGATAAGGTAGCTGATGATTTTATTATTATTGTTATTTAGCCAAATAACAATAAATTAAGCTTTGTTTTTTCCTGAAGCAATGTTGTTGCAATTTTTATTTCCATCTGGCTTGAAAAATACTAAGGGCATCTCCAACCGAGAATGCGATTTTTCACTCCAAAATACAGCAAAACTCCAAGATACCATAATCCTGCTCCAATCGAACTCCATTTTAGATGCTTCTGCGAAGGTAACGATCCTTCTCCCCTTTCGCGCATTTTTTCGTCAAATCCGATTGAGAGAGTAAAATAGCGTGGGCGAACAATGCAACGCTAATATTGACATCGCACTATTCACCCGCAAGTAAATTGCAAAAGATTTGATATTCGACTGGAGCAACTGAACGACGCCACAAGCACGATTGGCGTACGATTGGAGATGCTCTAAGAGAATATATTTGCTTGAAAGTTGATCATATTTAATGTTATAAGAGACTATAACATCTGTCAATAAAAATGTATGCTCCTATTTTGATGACTAAGTTGTTAGAATTTTAAGGCACACAATTCAAATTTGATTCTTTGATCGAGGGGACATTACAACGAACACAAAATTATTTTAGAAAAGAAAATTGAAGAAGCATTAGAGCAACTCCCGAATAAGGCTCAAAGCATGATCATTTACCCCATTGTCAATTTAAATTGTATATTCTTTATGATTATCTTAATGATGATGTTAATTTACAAGAAATTGTATGTGCATGCAGAAAATTTGTTTTTACAGGGATTTCATATGAATGTGCATTGGTAACAACTCGAGAGTCAAATGTCAAAATTTTATACGTAGGAAGTACGGTTACTTTTATACGTTGAAAATATATACTCATTTGAAAATAATACTAGGGAGGTCTTATATGAAATAAAGACAATTATTGTATTACTCTAAATGGTTGAGCCTATGAGCGTCCAAATAAAAATAAAGGGCCTTTAAAGGGGAGAAGGATGCCATCCAACATAGGTGTAGCAGATATAGAGTTATATGCCATAATCGAGCTATTTATAAGGCTAGATGCTCGATGCCTTCATAAATATTTTCTTATATAGATCAAATTGTAATTATTAAAATATTACTATTGAATGATTATATAATGATGTAGTGCTTAATATTATGTGATATATTTACTTGACTATGTTGTAATTGAATTTATTGTGCTATGAATGCTATGATTGACCTTTATTGTATATGTTTTGCTTGAACCCTATTCAATAATTATTATTTATCTTCTTTGAACCCATGTTATAGTTCAAATTTGTTGTGTTATTTGATGTGATCAATTTTTAATTTTATTGTATCATGTAGAATATTGAACAAATCTTATTTCAAACTCCTTATTCAACTAGTTTAGAAATTTCTTAATAATGTTTTATCCTTACTTTGTTTGAAAAATATTCAAATCATAGTTGAAATTTTTTTCGGATAAGAACGATGAGTATTCGAATATGATTTGAAGAATATTCGATCATGGATCTAATTTTTGTCACATATATCAAAATTTTGGTTGAGTTTTGATCTAAACTTATTCAAATATTTTTAAAATTAAATTTGATCATGATGAATTTAAAAAATAGGACTATTTAAATCCAAAGAAAACTTCGAGATATATAAGGAACTTATTTTTTTAAATTTAGATTATGAAGGGGTGTAATTTTAGTAGTAATATACCTAGTGAGGGGATTGTGACTTTGGGCGATCAAGTCATTAATAAGAATACACGTTTTAGATATCTTGGATCTATTGTTCAGAGTGATGGTGAAATAGATGGGGATATTATCAACAGAATTCAAGTTGCATGGTTGAAGTGGAGGAATGCATTGGGCTTGCTATGTGATATAAATGTACCCCTCAAACTTAAGGGAAATTTCTATAAGATGGTGGTGAGGCCTGCAATGCTTTATGGTACCGAATGTTGGCTATTAAAAGAGAAGCATAATACTAAGTTAAGTGTGGCAGAAATGAGGATGCTCAGGTGGATGAGTGGCTTTACTCTTAGATATATGATACGAAATGAGCAAATACGTGAAAATGTTGGAGTAGCTCCAATAGAAGATAAGATTAGAGAGAGTCGCCTTATATGGTTTGGTCACATAAAACGGCAGCCTTCCGATGACCCAATTAAGATAGTAGAAGTATTAGATTTGACTTATGTTAAGAAAGATGGGGGTAGACCTAAAAAGATTTTGTTAGAAAATATTAGCAATGACATTTCTTTATTATATTTAAACGAGAATTTGACTTTTAATAGAACACAATGGAGAAAAAAATTTATATAGCCGATCCCAAGTAGTGGGATAAAGACTTGATGTTGTTGTTATTGTTGTTGTATGATGTGCCATAGAAGCTTAAATTTACCTTTCAATATTACACATATAATTCCCCAATTTTATTATTATTTTTAAATGGTCTTGAACGAATCATAAATCTTTTTTTTTTTGGGACATTTAGGCCATTTAAGGCAAACTCACACACACAACTTGCATACACATAGACTCGAAGCTTAGACCTCTTAGTTGGAAGCCTTAGCTCTCAAACAATAGGCCAAGGAGAGTTGTGTGAATCATAAATCTTACCTTCAAGAAACAACTATGTATGTGCAGTAATGCTTCTTGCCCGCCGTCTTCGAGCTGTGATCTCAGCTCCCTCTACTTCATCTTCCGAGCTATTCCTACAGTCGGCCACAGTCAGCATCTGCGGAATCTCAACCTCCTCCTCTACCGACGTCTCCGGCGATACTCGGAGCAGCCGCGGCGGCGGGGGCGGGGGTCAGACGTTAGGGCGAAGGTTGCTGAGCCTCATCTACCCCAAGCGCAGCGCCGTGATCGCCCTGCAGAAGTGGGCGGAGGAAGGGAAGGCCATTCAGAAGTACCAGCTCAACCGTGTAGTTCGCGAGCTGCGCAAACACAAGCGCTTCAAGCATGCCCTCGAGGTACCTGTTAGTCCATTTCTCTTTAGTAGCGTATTTTTGAATCTCAGACGATTTGTAACCTAATGTTACTCGAATTGGATGGTCTATGAGATCATTCTAGGGTAAGTACAGTCCATCTTTTAGGGTTTTACGATGCATAGGGTGGATTTTGAACCATTATTGACAGAATTGTGCATCTACCGTTGTTAGGTTGTGGGAATGTGACAACAATCTTTACATGAGTGATCCTATGATATTTTGGACAAGCATTGGAAACTTTTATCCTTTTTGCATGTGCTGGGGGAATTTGTTTGGGAATCCGTAGTTCACTGGTTTGGCAACAGTTTCCTGTCTCCTTGTTTTATTTTTTTTAAATGTTGAAACCAAGATTTCAGCCCATGAAACGTGAAATTTCATGAAATTTAAAGCTATGCTGTATGTAGAATAGCAGAGCAACTATAAATTGATGCATGGCATGTTGATTCAAGTATCAAGTAAAGGTTGGTGTCACCCTTGATGAAAAAGAATGAAGGGTGTCAAGTTAGGCTTATACTTAGTTGAAATTGTTGATTTTATTGTAACACTGCAATTTTTTTAATTTAAATTTATTTATCTGCAGGTAGAGAGAGTTTGATTATTACCTTGTCATAATCGCCAATTTTATTGTAACATTTCCATTGAATCAAATCCATTTATCTGAATGCAGAGTTCAACAGTAGTTACTTCTCATAATCATGTCAAGATGTGTGGTTATGTTTAATTATTTCTCTTAAAAGAACTCTCATTGCACCTCTGCTGGAGCTCTGTTGTATAGGGATGCTCTATTATGTGACTGCTTCAGCTTTTTGAGAGAGATAGTGATGCAGGACTTAAATGCTTAAATGATGTAAATTAAGGATTGCTTAATTGATGTAAATTAAGGATTTTGCACGTTTTAGTTTAGAGAACAATATTAATTAAAACTTATAGAGATTTAGATGAAGAAATAAACAAGAGAGTGGTAAAGCAAGCTTAGGCTAAGTCACACACATAAAAGTTAATGCCACAAAATAATGAATTACTCTAACGTTGCATACATGGAAGGTTTTCAACGAACAATCCCTATGTCAATGAGATTAGTCACTATGAAAAGATCCCTCACTCAACTTGCTAAACTACTAGGCTTTAGCGGAAAAACATTAACATTATCTTCATGAATCCAATAAGACCACAATTGAGAAGCAACTATGAAGATAAAAGGATTGGGGAAGGGTTTACCCAAAGAAACAGGAGATACGAAGCTCTGGTGGTTGTTTGGGGGCTTGAAAGGAAGTGGAGAACAACCACGAACCTTCTAGATGTTGTGGACAGCAAGTGGGCGGTTCCGAGTGTGCATGACAGCAGTTTCCTAGTGTTGGAATGGCTGGACAGCAAGGGGGGAAAGCTCAAAAATTCTGGACAGCTAACGAAAATTGTTCCAACAGCACTTTTGAGGGGTTGGAAGTCTCGGATAGAAGCCGTCAGTGATGTGGGAAGCCTCTTCGTCCTTTGGGGTGAAGCTCCAAGCAAGCGAGATGGGCTAGAGAGGTTGGTTCATAGATGTCGATGGCGCAAAATAGCGCGCGCCATGACGCACAGCGTGGCGCACCTACGACGTCATGTGTATGACGCGGCGCAAATGTTCAAAATGACGCACGCTATGTGAGACCTCGTTCCCTTACTATTCCTCTCTAGATTGGATTTTCCTCCCAGGATCGGCCGGGACGATATTAAGATCGTCCAGGCCGATCAGTGTACTGATGGATTGTGGGGAAGGTCTGGGAAGAAGGAAATATGAAATTAATTTCAGATTTAGAGGAATTTAATTTAGGAAAAGGAGTTTAATTCTTTCCACAAAAGGAGAAATCTAAAGAGGCAAGTGGGGCCGGCCCTATGCAGAGGTTTAATTGGAGTTTCCAATGCGGGAAGATTAATTTTGGGAAGAGAGGGAGGAGCGGCCCACTTGATGGCCTTTATTGGAGGATTTAATTAAGCAAAATAATGATTGCTTAATTTTAGGGGAGGGAATTGGAGGGGGGGGTGTGTGTGGAAGGGAGCTTTGAGATTTAGGAAAAAGGATTTAATGAGATCCTCTTTCAAATTCAATTGAATGATTGGATTTCCTAAATTAACTCCTTTATTTAGGAAAGAATATTTCAGATTTTAATGACTCAAATTATAAATTAAAATCTTCTAGAATAGTAGGAATCTATTTTAGAAAAGTCAAGGAATTTTGAAATTTGGAGGAAAAAAGGAAGGGGGAAGTTAGTCGATGGTTTGGGGTTGGGATGGGAGGCCGGCCGGTATTGGGGAGGTGGTGGGGTTTTGGCCGAGAGGTGGAGAAAGGTGGAGTGGCCGGCGGTTAAGGTAGGAGGGAGGAGAGATGGCCGGCGGGTTGCGGGAAAGAAAGGGGAAGAAGGGAAGGAAGAGATAAGATTACGAATCCGAACACTTCGGTTGGTGGGTGATGCGTTTCCCTTCACCAAGGGACTTCATCAAAGCTCTCTCCAAGAACTCTTAAGCTCTCTCCAAACACATGAATGCAGAATTTGTTTTTCATAATATCATTCATTAACCAACATAAGCATAGGAGGAGGATATAAATAGTCCCCCAAATACAAGAATAAAATAAAAGACAAAAATACCCCTTGGGGTTACAAGCATATCTTCCCCCAGTGAGGGTAAAATTAGAAAAGTACATAAATAAATCAAAATACATAAAATGACTCAAAAATAAATCGGCGCGATCATGGTTGTAGATCGCTGGCCCCACCTCTGTTAGGCTTTCCAAGGCCTGATATCCTCATCAGATAGAAGACCTAGGAGATTAAATACTGATCCATTTAGGCCAATTGGTTTTAATGCACGATTCAGACCTGCCAAGCAATTTTTCTTTACCAAAAGACTAAGATTACTGGGTAATGTGTTTATTAATCATAAAGTTCCTGGCTAACTTACAGTATTGTTCGTGTGAGTCACAGAGGCCAAAAAACAAAATTGATAGCCAAGTCAGTTATTTATCTAAGATGTTTCTGATGTTTTTGGTTACATGAAGTACAATGGAAATTGACTTCTGCAAGATCATATTTTTAGTACCGCGATAATGATTTCCATGTTTGCTTGCAGATATGTGAATGGATGAGAACGCAGCCGGATATCAAGCTACTACCAGGTGACTATGCTGTGCATTTAGATCTAATTTCCAAGGTCCGAGGCCTCTCTAGCGCAGAGAAGTTTTTTGAAGATCTTCCTGACCGAATGAAAGCGCAGTCTACCTGCACTGCTCTCCTCCATGTTTATGCACAGAACAAATTGTCAAGCAAGGCTGAATATCTCATGAAAGAGATGGCATCTCATGGTTTCCTGACCTGCTGCTTCCCTTACAACCACATGCTGACTCTCTATGTATCCACTGGCAAACTAGATAAAGTACCAGAAGTAATCAAGGAACTGAAGAAGAACACCAAACCAAACGAGTTCACTTATAATTTATGGTTAAGTGCCTGTGCAGATAAAATTGATGTCAAGGGCGCAGAAGAAGCCATTCTTGATATGTCGAGGTACAAAGTGACCGGAGATTGCATTACATTCAGTACCTTGGCCAGCATTTACATCAAAGCAGGGCATACCATGAAGGCAAGAGAAGCATTGGAGAAGATGGAGAGGAGGATTTCGAGGAAAGATCGAGCCTCATACGGTTCCCTTATAAGCATGTACACAAGTCTATCTGATAAAGAGAATGCTCAGAGAATATGGAGTAAAATGAAATCAATGTTCCGAAAGATGAGCGACGAAGAGTATAAATGCATTCTCATCTCACTCTTGAAGTTAAACCTTGTTGATGAATCTGAGGCTATCTATAGTGAGTGGGAGTCTGTTTCAGGAACTGGAGATTCCAGAGTCTCAAATGTTCTTCTTGCATACTACACCAAGAATGATATGAACAAGGCTGAGAAGTTCCATGATCGCGCCACGAAAGCTGGGATCAAACCTAGCTACTCTTCTTGGGAGAACCTAGCATCAGGGTTTCTGCGTTTGAATAGGATGGATAAGGTTTTGAATTGTTTGAAGGAAGCTTTCTCTAGTGTGAATAAGTGGGAGCCTAACACTGAATTTGTGAGAGACTTGTTGAAGGGATTTGAAAATGCTGGAGATACAGAAGGAGCGGAGAAGTTCTTAGTCCTGCTTCGTGATGCTGGATATGTGAAGACAGAGATTTACAACTCTTTGCTGCGCACATATGCTAAAGCTCATAAGATGCCTTTGATAATTGCAGAGCGCATGAAAAAGGATCATGTAGCAGTGGATGAGGAGACCAAGAGATTGCTCAGTTTGACAAGAAAATACTGCGTTGGAAGTGCTGAAAGCTTGATTTCATGATGAGGTATTTGCTTTCTTTTGATATTAAGTAGAATAGGAGTGCCCGTTTTGCACAAATGGCTAACTGATTTGAAGTAGGTTTTGCTCAAATTAAATTTGAATTGGGGTCAAATCAGATTCGAATTTGAAGTTTTTAAATGATTCGATAATGGTTGGCTGTACATACTCTAAGTCTGAAATATATTTATCTTTTTTAAGGGTAATATAATTCGTGTTGAAAAAGAAAAAAAATATTCATCTTAAAATATGAAGAATATATTTCAATATAAGGGGTTTTCTCTCATATTTTAATTGAAGCATTTTGGTTACAAAAAATATAAGATATGTGTCAAATTTTTTTATCAAAGATATTGATCCAAAATTGTGCAAGATAAAAACTCAAAATTTCCTAGATATACGTCTCGTGTAATAATTTATGTATTTTGTTAATATTATTCAGGAATTTGATTTTATATGACTCATAATACACGTAATTAGCAAAAAATATTATTATATTGTAGTTTTTTTAGAAAAATACAACAACTCTCAGATCTTCATCGCTCGTGGCAGCTACTCTCTCTCCACCAATATTGAGCTCACTCATGCCCTTCGCCTTTATTGTTGATTCCAAGGTCACTAACTCCCAACAATTTCTTCCAACAAAATTTGCTCTGAGCAAAGGGTGAGGTCAATATACAAGATATACGAGGAATTAGTCAGCAGTTGCTTGAGGATCTTGCCCCCAGGCCACTCCTTAGCAATCTCTTTGGCAACGTTTTCAGCAGTGACAACAATATCATCAACAATCACATTCCGCTCGAGGGCACTCGCCTCCTGCATAGTGGCTCCACCTAGGCATTCTCAGGCACTCTCATCTTGGGATGAAATGAATGAATCTTCCCTTCATCCAAAGACCCTTCATGTTCATAAGTCGCCCCTCCCTCAACTAAAACAATTAGAGCGACCATCTTCTTTGTCTCTACATCAATTTCAGATGATCAATCATCTTCAATGACAACTAGATCCCCAATATCAGCACGCATTCTCTTCAAGAAAGGACCAATAGTGAGATTCGTCAAGTCTATTGATATTCATGCCTCCTTTTCAACAATGAACTTACTTGGCGCGGCTTCTTCCGCATTCAAGGCGTTCATATCAAAGCAATTCGCATTCTCTTGAAAGTAGCCCTCCTGGAAGCATGAACACCAAGAAAAGAGAAAGATCAATCTTGTTGAATTCGCACAAGTGTTAAAAGTTGGAATCGAAAATCAAGTATCTACTTGACTCAATGACATTATTTATAGAGAAACCTGATGATAGGACCTAGGGCTGCAAGCGAACCAAACGTTCGACGAGCTACTCGTTGTTCGATTCGATTAAAGCTCGTTTGTGATCGTTTAATTAACTAAACAAACAAACTTGAACAATATTTTAAATACTCGATTCTTAAATAAACAAACTTGAACACTAATGCGTTCAGCTCATTTATGTTCGCGAACAACATCATTTGAAGCTCGTGAACAAGCTCGATATTAAACTCGATAAGAAGCTTGATAAAAGCTCGATTCGTGTTCGATTTTGAAGCGTCGTGTCGATAGACAATTGCTTTTATTATAAATGTGTTTGTTCATAGATATGTTCATGAACGTATTTGTTTGATAGTTAAAAAAAATCGTTAAATATGTTTGCGAACAAGCTCGATAAGAATTAAACGAACGAACATGAACTGAACATGAACCGAACATGAACACTCATTAATTTAAATGAACCAAA